CCCTCGACTATTGTAAATGCTATTTTTCAAATTCAAACTTTTACCGCTCGGAACTTGCACCGATTTAGCAATATTTCGCAAGGTTAAAATCCGATAAAGAATTCATAATCTTTATTGAAGGTAATATTTTTTGAATAATTGAATAAGGATTATAATTAAAAATTGAAATATGAATGAAAGAGTGATTTATTTATAACGTGCAAAAGAGTATAAACATTTTAAGGATTTTTAAATGAAATTACAACAAAACGATCTATATTTATATAAATTTATAAAATTTGGAATGAAAAATATTTAGCTAATTAGATCGTATTAATCTGTGATAGTATGGTACTGTGTATTTTAAAATTCATTTTGAATTTAAATGAAATTCACCAATCGAATGAACGATAATGTAAAATAACTATCAGATTAATTTTCCGATTTAGCAAATTGAACAATTAAAAATTAATATGTATTAATAAAATACTAAAATATAAAATATATTGCAAAAGTTTTACAATTATCGATATTTTTTCATGTCAGAACAATCTTAAAAATAACTTAAAATTGCATCACAATGATTTTATTTCTTTAAAATTATAAATACATTCATGTACTAAATGCCAAATTGGAATAATCATAAAAATTCAAATGAAATAATAGTTAAGGACATTGCACAACCACGTACTAATTTATGAGCAAGACGTTCCACTAAATATCTGGCGATACACGTGCAACTCTAATGCAGTTATAATGGGATCTAATTCAAAACTCCTGCAAGCACGTATTCAATCAAAGCTGGATTCAAAAACAAAACATTTACTAACACTATACTAAAGATTATAATAGGCATTGGTGCATATTTAAGCAAATTCAAAATTCAGTATATAATTAACGCTTGTCCAGGATGTAGAAACGAATTTACAGCGATATGAAAGTCGGAAATTAAGGTAACAGAATGAAATTCTTACCTTACGAAGAATCGTTTGAGATTGTGAGAAACGTTAATATGTAAATTCTTTTTGATATCATTATATTTTGAAATAGCACTCGCATAAATTTGTATTATTAAATATAAAAGAATATGCATGACCTTGATGGAAAAAAAATTCATTAACAATGGCACATTAAATTTTTTTGAAATATTGAACTCAATTTATATGAATATTAACTATAATGATAAAATTTAATTGTTTATAATATGTATATATCATATATATAAATCTCTAACTGACTGACTGTATATAAATAATATAATTTGTGCATGTTAAAGGCAAGTAGTGTATAAATGATAATGAGGTAGAAAATAATATATTTGAGATAATAAATTTTAATACTCATTCTACATAAATATATATTACATATGTATACTTACAAAATAAAAATTAAAATATATTTAGATTTACATAAAATATAACTATATATCATATATACAGTACATGCATGTATGAATGCATGTGTGTGACTATACATGTATAATAGAAAACACCACAGTGTGAAATATGATAAAAGTTTGTTTAGTTGAGATAATGCTTTTACTTATCGATGATTTTTCTGGAACTGATGCCTCTTACATACTTTTAAATCCTCCAAATTTCTTGCTGACAAAAGGAGTGCAATAAAATGCAGATCAAGAACGAACTTTCACATTTATCTTTGATTATATCTAGTTTATCTATTCGTGTGGTTGCAATATATGTATTTATAGTATATAAAGTATATCCACTCACGATAAATGAATTGTAAATTTTTTTTTCATTATATATGTATGCATATAATAATTACAGATTCTACGAATAAATTATGGTGTATTATTAATTGAAGTTTTTACAAATGCAAATTGGATGTACTTTGATGTTTTTATTAGCATATGACTGATCTTGAACTGAAATCCGAAATTTTTACTACTATATTTTTAATAATAATTTATATTTTATTTTCAATTTTATACTTATAATTTTTATAATATATTTCTCTTAAATAATTTTTCTTATGTACCAAACTATGTTAAAAATGTATTATTTCTTTAATTAATTATGGATCCTATTTTCAAAAGATATAATAGAATATGGCTTACCATATTCTATTTTTAATTTTCAAACTAGATTAAACGTTATTTTTACATATGCGGATGTTTACATATGCATATACGATTTATTCTTCGATGAAATAACTTTCTTTAAATAATTGCTTTGAAAGATCCAGAGAAAAGAGCAATTGTAAATAAAATTTGTATCCATTGTCAATGTTTATAACTATATATATATCGATATATTCGGTCAACTAGGTATCAAGATGACAAAATTATGTATATTGTAATATTTAATTGTAATTATTATTATTATTAATGTCGAAGATAACTCAACAATTTGTATAAAAAATTTTATTAAAAAATGCGATTACAAATTTGATATTAAGAAGAGTGAAAAAAGTGTAAGCTTCAAGGCTCACCTAAAGCATGAGAACGGAAAGAAGCAAAGAAGTACGAGGAAGGTATTCAAGTAAATATAATGTCTATCTTCCTTATGTGCATATAAAAAATATAAAATCGGAGAAGAAAGCGTAAAAGTAGGAGAAATTTGTTAAAATTTTAAAGACAAAAGCATGACATTCGTAGTTTAAATATCACAATATTTAATAGTCTCATTTCTATTTTGTAATTTTGTAATAAAAATACTATACAAATTTAAAATAATTAAACGTGTAATGTAAATATTGAGATGAAAAAGAATAAAATTTGTTGCCATTATAAATAAATAAGATAAGACATATATTATCGTTATAATTGTCTTCCAACATTAACTCTACATACTAATATAAATAAACGTATTGGTATGAGAATATATTAGTATAATAACGAATCTTATATTTATAAATTATTGAAAATGATTTCTTCATGACCATTTAAGAACTTTAAAAACTCTACAAACATATCGATGAAGCTTATGAAATGTTCATTAAGTGTCAACTCATATTAATGTGTCCTTGAGATAAATATAAATTCCTTAGTATATCAACAACGAATAAAATTTGTTTCTTTAATAGATTTAATTTTTCCTATTTTTATTTCGCAATAAAAATTAAAATAACTATTGTAAATCCATATTTCTTAAATTCTCTCAATAATAAACATTGAAAAATGTGTCAGACGAAGCAGTTGAAAAAGTTTTGGTTTCCTTTTGTTGCATTCTAAAAATAAAAAAAGCATCTATAAACTCAACGTCACATACTGCGATATTGACCCAACATTCGCTATATGTCACACGTGTATATAGGCACATGTACGTAAATACATGTGGATATAAAAAATGGAATATATATAATTCTAGTTTAGTGTAATATTAAATTATTTGCGATTAATAGTGAGTACAAAATCATTTAGCTAGTCACTCATAAGCACAGAGGCTTATAAATCACAAAGTTTCATATATTTAAGGAGCAGAATTGTCCTACACAGCGTCTAAAAAATCTGTCACAGATAAAAGACAGCGGTATTGGAGTAAAAAAACAGCTCTGCGAACATTAATAGCTACCACAGCATTGTTATTTTTAAAGAAACCGAACTCAGAACTTTCTTCAACGTCCGCAAGATGAAAAAGCAACTATAGTTTTTTCCGAATCATCGATAAGATCGCCTGAGGGCTCATCTTATACGTTTCCATTGTCCTTTTTATAACATCAAGTCTATTCGCTGGTATGAATTTAATGTACCATTCTATCTCCACGAGGATATATTTTTTGATCCATGATAGAATTATTCTGCCTACTGTTAGTAAAAAAAACACATACCATAAATTAGCTGTAAAATTATACAAAAACATTATGCAAAGAAATGAGTTATCTTATTAATTATGAAAATTGGAAAAAAAATTTTTGGTTATTCTAATCTTTATATTTATTACTATTATAATTAGAAAGTTTATAGGAGAGTTGCTTAATAATTGATGATATATTTAAAAGATTTTTGACGATTATTCCACACAGTACGAATATGTGTCGCTATATGTTACAAATCCATCCTGTATTATATAATGAGCCGAAGCAGTATGTTCATAATTATAATTGAGATAATGAAATATCAATTATTTATGTATCATTTCGTTATTTCTTTTCAAATGAATATGAAAAAATGAACAAAATTGATTATACTTATATACTGGGGCTATAATTGTACTAAAATTTCTTATTGCAGACATTATATTTCAAAACTAAAAAAAACTTTGGGGCTTGTAGTTGACAAACCACGAATTTGACTTTCATAACAAAGTTTATTAGATTAGCAACGTATAAGGCAGAGTGCAGATGAATAGTTGGCAAAGTCGATAAAGATGTTGCAATTTTAAGTAAACTTTGATCGAGAATAGCATCTTCACACTGTCCCTCCAGGCAATGTGAACCGAAAAAGCGAATGGAGGTCAGTTTTTATTCGGTCGAGTGAGTCGAAGAAGCGTCGCCTTCAACTTGTTCAGCTCGAGACTATTGTTCGTCCGCGATTCGATTTGAGAACTCGAACATTCGATTTTCGCAGAATAATACTTACCAATGGATATGACATTTAATTTTATTCGATTATGCGCCGACGATAAAGATTTTACTCCGGCTGGATTCTTCTTCCCGTACTTACTACTTACATTCTTGTATTTTCACGAGACTTGATTTTAGCAATCGATAAGAAGAAGAAAAAAAAACAGTTTTCTTTACATCGAATACAGTTTTCAATTATTCCAACTGCGTTATACTTTGATAACTTACATTAGAGCCTTTTTCAGTCTGTAACATAACTGTATTCGTAATATGGATATTTTACACACTATATTTAATGCTCACATTTCACATTATCCGGTATTTTATAAATAAGAAAATATAAAGAATTTAAATTATCATTTTGATAAATAATGTATTCGTTATATGATGTTAGATTTTAACGTACAACCCAGGTGAAAATATCCAATTATTGTGTTGTAAATAACTGATTTTTTTGTATACACATCGATAAATTGGCATTAATAAATACTCACGTCATACTTTTCTTGAATATGAGGTCCAGCCTGCGCAATATAAAGTGTGCTCGCAGTATCGAAGACGAGCTCCGGTGGGATTCTTGTAACGCGCTGCCGCGACAATTCGTTACAATTCATGTAGAGAATGACTTCGGTTGTCGTTACGCGTATGACGATCTTTGACCATCGCTTGGCGAGCTTCGGCACTGTGAATTTAGCCACTTCGTCGGAGAAGGAATGCATATCTGAGTTGGTATATACAAGCGATATGTTTTGATTCGATGATGGTCCATCCTATAAATTGTATATTTTTATGTTACGTACGATTATTATTATTCTTATTGTTTTTTATTACTAACTTTCAAAAATTCATATTACCCAATTTAATTCAAATTTCAAATTTTTCAAAAATTCATATTACCTCTATGAAAATACGCTCTTGAATAATTTAACATTCATTATTAAATTATCTCTGTCGGACATGTATTATTCACAATATTTACCAAAAAATTAAAAAATATTTATAGTTCTGTCGTTTAATCGAACACACATTCGCTGAAATTATATAAAAATAGAATTTGCATAAATATACGTGAATGTTTTATTTTCATTTAAAATTTATACTTTTTAATTGGTGAAAGGAATTAGAAATTAAAGTGGAAAACGCTTATAATTGTATATAATTGAAATCGATAATAAAGCAATAAATATGGTGAAAAATAAAATTCATTTTTAATCACATACGATTTGTTTAAATGATGAAATTCCGAAATTATAACTTTCAAAAGAAAAACGGGTAGCTAGTGAACGCAAATGAAGTAATTGAAATATTCGCTTTTTCTAATATTAAAATTAATATAAAAAGCGACGACGAACTTCAACTTCAAGCCTCGAATTAATTATAAATCACAATTGTGCGATTGATGAATGCTTAATTCGTGACTTTGCCCCGTACATTTGAAATGTTATTTAAAATACGATAATGAATATCGAAGTGATATATAATCCTAAGCTGTATTATCGGTACGATTTCTAATTACAAAAAGAAAAATATTTCCATTCATCCTCTTTGAATATGTATTCCTATACTCTTATGATATTTGCTAGGCCAGTTATAATGCAGTAACTATAGAATGAAATTTTTCTAGAAAAAAAAATCACCACAACAGACTGTATTGAGTTGTTTAATATTAAATTTACTCTATTAATTAATTCAACACCTTATTGAATGATAAATTGCGTGAATTATTAGTTGAAACGTAATGCAATTACCGTCTGTATGTTGTGGGCATTACAGTGATATATGCAGTAGAATTTGCATAATAACTTCATTCAGAATATTCTTAAAATCTCAATATTCATTTATATTTTCGGCTATAAATTCCGCATCATAGCTTATTCAACGGGGAATCATACTTTTACGCTCAACATTAAAATGAAATATACAATATTGAAAATGTTATATTTTTAAAGATAGGCCAGCGTATTATAGTGTCATGAATAATCAAACATCTAATATGTAGTTAATATAGAATTATGATATCGGATACTTTTATAACAAGACAACTTATAAAGGTGCATGGATTAAAATTTGATTAATCCACAATCTCATATTAATACTGGAATGTAGTATACGGTAATATAGTATTATTATTGAATATATTATTATTATTGAATATAGTATTATTATTATAACTAGTTGAATGAAACGTCGCGTTATTATGATCCCAAACATCGTCATGATATCGCCAACATGTCTCTGCACCTGATAGACTTCTTCTTGCATTCAACAACTTCGCAATTATACGGTTTCTCATATTAACAAATCGCCTGCTCGTCCCATCGAAATCATAAACATCCTGAGAAAATAACAGTGCGTAAATGCCAACTCACGGAAATGCGAATGCCAAGCTGAACGACAGTCTCGAAGGGATTGAGTACGGCGAACAGGTAACTGGTTCTCACTGACAGCGGTTTGAACGACGCCACAATCGTAAACTCGGCTGGGAGCTTCTCCGGCAGATACATCCGGTACGGCTGCTTGACCTCCGAGCCGAGGCGAAAGCCGAAAGATGGGAAGCCGTCGTAGCCATCGGTGATGTACAGATTCTTATCGTCAATCAAGGAAACAGCCGCTTCCAATAGATCGAAATGAGTCTCTGTAAATAAAGAAAAGCAGGCAAACTGTGTTGAAAAAAGCAATCGGAGCTGGAATACGTCGATGGGCGTATAGCGGCGTTAGGCCATTGAGAAAGTATTTCGCGAATTTGGAGCATTTAAGTTACTTTTCATTTTGCCACTGAGCAGCAATGAATAGCCAATTATATTTCGCATAATACTCAAATGAATTTTTTCACTCCTGGACATTGGGATAAAAATTTTAATTGCCCATATCTATTATAATATGCATGGCTATTTTTATTTGGGCCGTACGTATTATTCGAAACTTCGTTTTTAATATTTCTCAGATTTAATTACTTTGCATTTAATGAAGAGCTTTATTATTAATTCGAGAATAATTATAATATTCCTGTTTAGGTAAATTTAATCTTTTAAATCTTGGAATTCATTATTTTCATAGCTAATATGCCGTTTAAAATATATATATCGCTCGATTTTATTATATCTATAAAATAGTCTCATACGTTGGTTTAATAATGTAATTTTTCATTATTCTATAATGTTATATTCCCTAAGGATCGCGGCAGTTGTATGAAAATAATATTTAATTTATCAGTGTTGATGTATCGATGCAATAAATTATACAGTTTTCTTACATTTCTGCATGCAATCGTGTAATAAAGACGTTATAATTTTAATGTTTTATTAAATTCTTAATAGATTGATTAATTCAAACAATAATAATTAGATATGTAGTAATATTAACAGTCATCGACTAGTTTCAGTCCCATAAAATTACTTTGAGAAGTGGAATGTAAGCTCGATACCTCGTTGCGACAAAGATGTCTTGTAAGCAAATTTTGCCAAAGTTTTAATTATTTTTTTCATTCTCGCGTTGTTATTTTGCATGCACTTATCACTTAGGCCTCTTAGTGTTTTCTTCTTATTATAAAATTGTATATATTAAAAATGTTATATATATTACTATGTATTCTATTAATAAAATTCAGATTTATGTCATTAAAATTTAATTATATCCCGCTAGTAATAATACATTTAATTCTCTCAATTATTTTTAGCCTTACATTTGTTTTCGTTCAATAAAGCTTCCTCATTGAAATATTATAAAGGATCTATTTCAGCTCCTTTCTAGAATTAGAACGTTAATTTATTTCATTATTTTCAAAACAAACTATTGCGTACTGTATAATGGAGATTCATGTATTCGTTATAAAGACTAATCTATATTCTTCTTATTTGTTCTTATTTATTCTAATATTCATTGTATAATTTCTTCTTTATTATTTTCTTATTCACTGCTTGATATTAAATGTATTTCTTTAGGCATTAAATTTCAATAAGCAAAGTTCATAAAGCTAATTAAGATTGTAAAAAATCTAAAGTCAAATTTTAACTCTTTTATATATGTAATTAAAAGTTTCTATAACTTTTTAATTGTAAAATTCATTGATGATAAAATAAAAATCCATGTACTTATGATTCATATACTTATTGTCATTTGAAACTGGCGAAATTAACAGGATATAGAATATTTTTGAAATCAATAATTCTATTTATAGATGTTTAACAATGATATAATTATTTATTGAAAAGAAAATACATGTACTTACTTATTGCCTCTAATTACTTGATGAACTATCGGTTACTAGCTAAAGGTAAATTGATAAAAATTGGAAAAACTTACAGATACATTCAATCATATAAAAACGATAATTCTCAGTAAAAATATAAAATTAATTTGGAATTAAATCTGTGTACAATGATTTTAGTCCGACTGATACGTTCCTCATAACAATATTACTGACATGCCTTCTTAGAAATTCTCGGTCGGTTAAAATATTCTGGAATCTTTGACAATTATAAAGATATGCATCCATCTCTGTTCACGCTATTATTATCGACGCGGAATGATGGAACCGCGACATCTTGCTAATTCAAGCTCTTCCATCGGAAACTGCTTAACGGGAAAGAAACGCGCGACGAGCTCGTCACTATTTACCTGTATATCGTATTAAATTCTCTGTACGTCGTTCTTTGTCAGCAATTAGGAATACAATACGGCAATAATTCGCTTCAGATATATCAACTAATGCTAATATTTGTTACGCTAGTATTTATTTATTGAAAGGGGTGTTTGATAAGTGGCGTCTGCTGTTCGTTGTACAATAATTGTATTTTCTTCTGGTTAGCATCCGTTAAACACGAACAGTCTAAATTAAATTATTATAAAATTATTGAATTTCTATTAAAGCGTGATTTAATGATATTTAACATGGAATTTCATAAAACGAATAATTTTATAAAATTCTTATTCGAAATAAATATGTCTATAAGCATAATAAATTAAAGCATAGTGTATTTACCATATTTTTATTAATTTCATATTTATACAATGCTTATATGTATATAGAATTTTCTGATAATTATACTTTGTAGAATTCCTGTATAACAACTAGAATTTTAGCTGCAACGATAATAAAAGAATGTTATTTCACAATTTTTCAAAATTATGCTTTCTTTTCGTTTTACTAAGTGCTATACGTCCCACAAATCTTTTGATGAAAAATATTATTTTTGCACAACTTCATTTATATAGCAACATTTTACATGTTTAAATAATGTTCAATTAAATATTCCAAATATTTCTATATATATTACATATATATCGTAATAAGTATGAATCTAATAGACATACAAGAATTATTAATTATGCCATTCCAATATGTTCTTCTTCGTACCATTATTTTTGTATACATTAAATAAAAATCATCAAATTTTAATCTCTTTCATTCATCATACATATTGTGAATTAAAGTGTTCAACAGTATCATTCATAATAAATAATATAAATAATAATTCAACAAATACTTAAAAATAGATTCTTTAAGGCTGTATAATATGAGTTTCACATTAATCCTACTGTGCAATTGTTATAATTAATTATGAATGGGTGATATTGATAAAAGGAATATTGTCAAGAAAACATTATGAAATAATATATAGTTTAAGAAAATATCAATATTTTAATGTTTAAAGTTTGAGCACTATATAAAATATATGAAAAAAAGTACGAAAATATACAAAAAAATAAGTATAAAATAAAATACAATTGATAATAGATGTGACGATATAGTATGCTGCAATGAAATCATACCAAAGTAATTAAACTGAGGATGGTCTGTGAGGATAAAGAAGAAACAAAATTGAGGCTGGCGCATTCACAACTATGAAAATCGTATTAACTGAATTAATTATTTTTCTCCCATCACTTAACAGTTCCCCTATTATATTTATAACGCTTTATAATTCGGTATATCGCTAATTTATTCGCTAGTATTATTTTTTTTAATCAGCCTTTTACTTGCTGTCGCACATGTGGCATTACGCAGATGTCCAATTTCGTGCTGTGATTACGGGACGAGGAGTACTGAAATAAAGACACGTTGTCATCGGTAGATCAATTATACCGCGAGAATCCATTACGAAAACGCAATATTCCCGATTCCATTCCTAAGCAAGTGAAACACGTGTCTTCCAATCCGCCCAATCCTTTTTATAATTATTATTTACTCTAAGTATTAAACTCTGAAACAGTAATGAATTATTTAATAACTTCATCTCTAACGCCTAAGTATAATTTACCTTGCAAACGTGCCAAAAATTGGCTTGTCGCCGGTACATCTAAATAATCGGTTACACAACCCATCATCATATTCTCCAAGACTCTTACCACCATACAACCAGACCAAGTTTATGATGTTTTAACAATGTGTGCGAAAGTGAAAGGCGCCACTGAATAATGTTAGTGAGGTTAGAAGGGCGATTATTCCATTACATTATTAATTCGTGACTAGTTTTTCGTAATAATAAGCATATAATATTTAAATATTTTATTAATTAGTCCTTATAATAGACTTAGCGCAAATAGAGATGCATGTATTTATAAATAATGTAGAACATGTACATCTTTTCATAAAGGAAAGTAAGTGTTGCGAATTATAGAAGAGTGTAATTTCTCATGAAATTATATGAGAAAACTAATCAAATTTCTCTGAGCAACGAGCTAATGTTTCTGCTCAATTGGAAATTCTATTCAGAAATCGATTAATTGATTTAGAATATATTAAGAAAGGAGATAAAATATAAGGCGCGAAGATTAAAAATATTTTGACAACAATAACAAAATATTTTTATATAAGCTTTATATTAATTTGCTTAGTTTAATTGTAAAATTTTTGTTGCCAATATTTATAATAATAGTAGTAAAAGAAAATCTCTAAACGGCAATAATTTATTCATTGAATGATTATAATTTAAAATATTCTATATTTTCATGCTTAAATTGATAAACCTAAATATTTAATATTTCAACCATATTTCGTTAAAAATTTCATTATTAAATCCAATGGAAATATTGTAATATCATGTTCTATGTAAATAATACTAAACATACAAGTTTAATCGGAAAATCTCTCTTAAAATTAAACGAAATCCCGAGATATATGATTCTGACATGACAAGTAGCAGAGGCAAATTCGGGATAGACCAAATATACATTTATCGGGAGTTGAACAGCGACAGCATCTAAGCATCAATCATTCTTACGAGGTCGTAATGCACTATACGAATGGTATCCAACTATTAGTCATAAATCGATGAGCGTGATCAAGTTTAGCGTTGGTACTTTTGCTTCATTCTCTGTTTCTCTTTGCTTCGTCACATCAACGAGGATTCTCCAGAATTCTCTGTTAAAAGCCAGCATAATCGATATTTATTGCTGCAAAATTTTCGCCACTCTAGACGCAACCACAATAAATCGCATTAAAACGTACTCGCGTCCAAGATTCTCCGACTTTTTGTTTTGTTTTGTTTTGTTTTATTATTATTATGAAATAGATAGGACATTGCTACCGACACTCGAAATTCGTTCTGTCTCGACTCAAAGTCCGTGGCAGGCATTTTTCAACGGCTTTGAAAGCTCAGGCGATGCTGCTTGCTATGTTTACGTTTACGCAGT